CCCAATTGGCTCTGCCTGGAGAATTAATACATTCTTCTGATATAGCACATGGAACATCATATAAATAAATCATTCCTGCAAAGCAAACCTGGCCCAGCAACTGGGAGCACAATGTGCACCAGTCATACAATTGTTTCCTCTGTTGTCTTCCTCTTGTTCCAGAACATTTAACACACAGCTAAGCAGGCATGCACAAAATACCTAATGACTACTGTCATTGAGTCTGTCAATCAACTTCTCATTGCAGTACTAGGACATTACAAAATGTGAATCAAGATGTGGGGCATAAAAGTAAAACTCTTTCAGTCAGTCTTGGTGTGTTTCCCTTCCTGGAAACATGTTACTTTCTTTCACTTGTGAATTGAACTTTTGTTTTTTTTATTGGAAGTGTTCTGCTTGAATGAAGAGCAAAGCATTGATTTCTGCAGATTTCCACAAAAAATGTGAGTAGCACAATTAATCTCTGATTTTTTTAAATTGTATCACTTGCTAACTTGAAAAATTGAAAGGCAGTTGAACAAAGGAAAAACACATTGGTGAATGTTAATTAATGATGCCAGGGTGTGTGCAATATTCTTACTTGATGAAGAATGTTTTTAACACAGTGATTTTCCAACAATGAGAACATTTCTTGGGGAATGCAATGAGGCAAAAAAGATCCATTGAAAATAACATAACTTTCTTCCTCACCAGAAAAATTTTGCATACATTCACCTTGTTGGAAAAAATTCATTTTTATTCCTCTTGGTGGCGTCCTCCAACTTGGAAATTCAAAGAGACTCAATTCCATACAAAATTCTCATCACTGGCAAAATTCTACCTGCAGTATCTTTCCATGAATTTCTCAAGAAATCCACTCTTGTAGAACCAGCTCCATGGAGGAAGTTTCATGGCACATTTTTTAAAATTTGATATGTCACTGACTGTAAAAGCCATTTAAATGGCAGTGACTGTTCTAGACATCCAAATCACAACATTAACTGAATACTACATTGCACAAACTTTTTCTGAATGGTCACACCATTTGGAAGCAACAATTGTGCTTACCTCAGCAAGAAAAAAAAACTTGCCGAGCTCATTTCAATATTCCTCACATGTATTCTACTCTGAACTGGTCTGGCTGGAATATTTAATTCCACAGGAAATTTGCTTGGTCTGTGGCTGGAATTTTGAGAACTGTACATTTTTTCAATTCAAGAAAATGTCAAATGCCATTTCAAAATGCTGTACTTCAAACCTGATTCATTGACTGCAAACAAGGCCATACAGAGGGATCCTATGCAGAAGATGTTCAGTTCAGAATAATACTGTACATTGCTTTGAAAATAATTGAAGAAATATGCAATTCAGTACAGAACAATTATACATATTACATAATACATACATACCTATACATAAGTCAGAAAGGTTATTCTCAACTTTGTCCAGGAGTACAAATTTTAAATTTACCTTTGTTCCATGATCACAAGCAAGTCAAATATCACTAGTCTAATGTTACTTCTATGCCCAAATGGAAAAAATTGTCCAGATGAAAACTGGAGACAAAAGAAACCCAATTGAAATCATGTCTCTAATGCACAAATCAAAACCCACTTACATTTCAATTCTGTACTAAAATCATGACCATCATAATGCATTGCAATCTCATGTCACTTTCCAAAAATAAAAAAGTACAGTGCAGTACACCAGTCAATAAACCACTAAATTTGCAAAACTTCAATGTTTGGTGAAGATATGACACAGTTTGACAAGCCTTGAACTCAACATCATTACACTTTCCCCCCTTTTCATTTAATTGTAATTGAAGCACCATGGTCATTACCAGCAGGCAGGGACAGTGAATAATGGGAAAAGTTTCATGAAAAGAAAGTGTTCATGTCAGGCGACCAACCATCCTGGCTGGTAAGCCATTCACCTTGCCCATCAAAGAGTGATTCAGTCTAAGCTTTGCTAGTTCCATTCCAAAATGTGTTCAGAGGACATGTTGCACATGAAATCAATAATCCAAACTGCAGGCAATTAAGAGCTTGGAAAGCAATGCATGAGAATTATTTTATAGCATTAGAATACTTGTGAAAACAAAGACAGATGCAAGATACTGAGCATTACAGAATTAAAGACATTCAGTTCTTTGAAACATGCATCACAAAGTAAGTTGGACCATGAAAACTTACTTTGTTACACTTGGACCTTGATGACTCAAACCTCAGTAAGTCCAGTACTTCCCTGTGCATATATATTTTTTAAACTTCCTCAGAAACAATGCAATCAAAACCTTCCCAACTCAAAGGCTTTCCCCCTTTCAAAACTCTATAACTCAAATTTTATGGATAGCCTGGTGGCCATTACTATATTGACACATACATAATAAAACCAATAAAAATTTAAATTGACAGACATGCTTTGAAAGGAATTGAAAGACTAATTGAGCCAATGAACCCCTGCCTTGAAGTTCAGCATCCTGTCAACTCACATACAAAACTATGGACAGCCCAGAATATGACCAATCAAAGTTTCCTTCAATTATTCTTGCAATCCCAACAAAAATGCTTGTTTGCCTCTATCAAGTCAGATTTCCTGCTTCATTAAAATTTTTTGTTGGTCTCTAGAAGTTTGACTAAGGAGGTTAGCCTGTACTTGAATAACAAATTTAGTGAACCAATTCAAGTAATATTGTGGCTATTGGGAATGGGGCCCAAAACACGATTTTGCTGGAAACAATACTTTGCCATGAAGAATTGCATTTCCGATTCACGGTACTGTCTGATCTTCAGTATACAGTACTGCATTTTCCACGACCGGACAGGTTCCACAGCGGGACACTAAATCCCCGCCTAGGCAATGTCAAGTCCATTCCCGCCACGCCGCTTCCCTGTCCTCGCCCTTTCCTCCCACTCCCTCCCTCCAAAGTCTAATGCAATAAAGTTTAACAAGTCTTCAAGTCACCAACGAATTTCTGCCTCTTGGGCTCGCAAAAAATCAGCGCTCACTTTAACAATATTGTATTTCATTTCATGACAACATTTTTAAGTTCAATACAGTAATGTACAAGCAATATCAACAAAACGAGTGACGTCTTTTGAAAGGATACACAGGAAGGATGATTAAGGCATCAAGGAATGGATTAGTTTCCTTATGAGGGGACCCAGTGTATAAAACGTTTTGAAATGTATGATGAAAATGCATTTCGGTGATTTCTGATTTCGAGACAGTCCGAGCATCTGAAAAACATTGTCAACTGATGTTTTTCCAAAAGCAATCTTTGAATTTCTGCATAAATGATGTGACTTTTTTTTTCCTTGGAAATACTTCGAGAAGTGAATAAAGTGACGAACACATCAATTTTTTGACAAGTTTTGAGCTGTGTCTTAGTTTTTTTTTTTTAAATAACCGAAAATTAAATTAGAAGAGTGTATGTTTTGCCTCATTGTGTCATTTTAAAATTTCAGAAACTCCGAGGCAATAACTTCGAATTTACTTCAAATTCACAATTTCTTTTTGAAAACTGAAAAAAGATTTTTTTTACACATTAAGGGATCATGGTTTTCTTTGGTCTGATATGGAATAGAGTCAATAGACCCTTGAAACAATTTTCGCATGAGCAGCCGCCATTTTTTCACGGCCATTTCGAAACAGAATAATTTTTGCTTGCAGTCCATTATCCGAATCGGGGTGGGTACAATCTTCAAAAATCGCATTTTCGACCCAAAAAAATAATTAATTTAGTCTCGCAATGAAGGCGGATTTCCGATAATATTCAAAATAAAACCCGAGTCACATTTTAGTCACCTGCGGTCCACAGATTCGAAAATAATTCGCGTAACTTTCTGAAAACCCCCCTTACGTACCTGACGAACACATGCGCATTCTAACACATTCACACACAAAACACTCACTCGACTCCCCTCCTCCCTCCCGGCTGACGCTCTTCCCTCTTTCCCTTTCCGTCGCCGTCGTCCATCGCCGCCGCGGCGCCCATGCGAAACGAGGACGAGCATTACGGTCAAGTACGCAACCATCAACACCCCCGGGACGCCTAACCATGCCGGGAGCGCCGCCGCGACCGCGACCTTGAACGAATCCAGAGGCATTCCCTTCCTACACTGCCTCTGCATCCGAAGCATAGGGGAATTACTTGACTCAATTAGGCGCCGCCGCTTCATCAATCAAAAGAGGTGACACATTTGTGTACAGGGTGGCCTGCAAAAAATAACAGACCGCTTCACAAGCAAAACAGGCATTGTACTGTATGTACAAACATTACTAAGAAACTGAGCATATACTGTAGTGTAATTCGATGATGTGACACATCCATATACAGGGTCGCCGACAACAAAACGAATTACAGAAAAATTCTCAAACAATACTGCATACGCAAACTTCAACAAGGAATTGAGTAAAAAATTCAAACTACATTAATCATATAAACTTACGAAGTATGGCCATGAAAGGGATGTAAATTGGACCCTGATTCATCAATCAAAAGAGGTGACAGATCCATACAAAGGGTGGCCGAAAAAAATTTATAGACGCCCTCTTAAGCAAAATAGGTCCTCAATATGCAAACTTTACAAAGAAATTAGGCAAATAATTCAAGACACGCGAATCAACTACAATTTGGTCATGGGAGGAACGCCAATTGGACCCTTATTCATGATCAAAAAAGATGACATTACATATCCATATACAGGGTGGCCAAAAAAGATTATTGACCACTTTTCAAACAATACAAATATGTTAAAACTTAGTATAAATTTCTTCACTATCATCATCTACACTTTGGCCATGAAAGGAATGCCAATTCAGCCTTGATTCATGAATCAAAAGAAGGACACATCCACATAGAAGGTGGCTTACAACAAATTACTGACAATTTCTCAAGCAATTCAGTTGCTGAACTGTATATTCAAACTTACCTCCAAGAAATAGAGCAAATAATTCAAAATGAATTAGTCATCTAAAATTTGGTCATGAAAGGAATCCCAATTGAGCTTGGATACATGAATCAAAAGAGGGGGCACATCCATATACAGGGTACACTACAACAAATTATAGACCACTTCTCAAGCAATACAGGTACAGTACATTAAAACTTCATCAAGAAATTGAGCAAATAATTCAAACTACAGTACACCAATCATCTACACTTTGGCCATGGAAGAAATGACAATTCAGCCTTCATTCATGAATCAAAAGAAGGACACATCCACATAGAAGGTGGCTTTCAACAAATTACATACAACTTCTCAAGCAATTCAGTTACTGAACTGTATATTCAAACGTATCACCAAAAAAAATAGGGTAAGTAATTCAAACTGCATTAGTCATCTAAAATTTGGTCATGATGGGAATACCCATTGGGCCCTGATCCATGAATCAGAAGAAGGGACACATCCATATACACGGTGCACTACAACATATTATAGACCACTTCTAAAGCAACAAGCATAGATTATACATACTTTTCTGAAGATTCAGCAACTGGCTAGAATCTACACTTTGGTCAGGGAGGGAATGCCAAATCAATCTCACTTGAAAATTAATTTTTTATATTTTATGGGAGATCCTGTACATCTTGCCTGCACTCTTGTCCATTTCTCCTGGAAGAACAGTTGTCCCGGCGGACAAGCTTACCGTTCAATGAAATAATGTACCACACAAAATATAAAAAAGTACAGCACCTCTTTCTATTTTTAAATTCATGTAATAAAAAATAAAATCGCATGGTTTTACAAATTTATATCCTTAGAAAAGCGGTGATGCATTAGGAAACAGCCAATGACAAACTGTTGCCCACTTTCCCTTTAACTGAATCAGACCTTCGAATACAAAAACATAATTCATCGAACTATTCCAAAAATTATTTTTTTCTAATTTTCTCTAACGTTTTATTTTAATCATAGAAACTCTGAAGTTTGACTCTCCAATAACATGCAGAGATTTATTTTATAATTTTTTTCACATATTTTTCCTATCCAGTAAACACGCCTTCTCATTCTGTTCACAAAAAATTACAAATTTAAAAAAAATCAATTATACATATGTTCCCATTCATCGATTTCAAACGAAGTGGATATTGTCGCGGACCGAAGCGACGCAGCTCCAGCATCCGGTGGAAACCGGACCCCAAAACTTGTAGGATTTCCGAGGCCTGTGAGCCTCGCAAAAATCCTGTTTTTGCGAGACTCACTGAGCCTCACTCAAGGACAAGAAGTGGTTTTCACTTCTTCGATTTTGCCTGAATCGGCCAATCCTGAGCCAGGAAGAAATCACCTGATTTCTTCCTGACCCAGTCCAAGCTTCACTGAGCCTCACTCAAGGACAAGAAGTGGTCATCACTTCTTTGATTTTGCCTGAATCGGCCAATCCTGAGCCAGGAAGAAATCACCTGATTTCTTCCTGACCCAGTCCAAGCACCTGGGTATAAAAACCCTCATTCCTCTTGGAGAGAAAAGTCAAGAAGTCATAACCTAGTGTTAAAGGGCCTTTAACCTAAATTAAATTGATCAATCATTATTCTGAGCTAACAAACCAATTTAACCATTGGCTCTGCCATTATATTGAATTAACAGCCAATTGATGAACTGGGCCATGAGAATGAACTCCTCTGAAGAAGAGTTTGAGTTCTTATTCAAAACTTGCATTCTGATGGCTGCACAATTCACTTCCTTTGTCTGGGATCCAATGAACCCATGACATATGTTGCTTGGGTTGTCTCACAGCTACGCGTCCTCAGCATTTATGACGCCTTAGAAAATTAAATAAAAATTCAAAAAGTCACTCATGTTGATCTACGCGTTTGAAATATTTAAAAATAAGATTTTTAGAACCTTTTTCAAGATAATCTATAACGGAAAGGGGCAAGTTTCCAGCTTTAAGAGAGTTTTCCACAGTACATACGCTAGATATATTTTATGAAAGTGTAAAAAGAGACATTTTGTTGTCGAGCAGAAAATTTTATCACTCATATCTGCTAAAAAAAAATTATGACATTTTTTAAAGATAATTTCTTTTGTAAAACAAAAAATGCAACACTTTTCGAAGGTTGGCAATAACAAGGTGCTCATTTATAGTTTTCCTACTTTTTCTCGCAATCCTTGCCAAAAATGTCTCTACGTCCCATAGTATTTTAATTTTCAGTGGCTAAAATTTGATTTTAGGCCACGCTGACAGAATTTATCATTGTAATAGATAAGCTAAAAATAAGTCTCAAATGACTCGGAAATGCATCTTTGAGAAGTATCTCTTTCTTGAATACTGTAGAACAAAAATCTTAATTCGTATTTTTTCCGAAGGAATTTTATTTCAGTTTCGCAAAAGTTTTTCGCGGAACCTTGTTTATTGCGCAGTTATTGGAACACAAACAGAGACACAGTATCTTTCTAGAAGGTTCGAAAGGAAATATGAGATAGAAAAAAAATTACACGAGGGAACAAAAGTACATGTATCAGCATTATTTGGTAAACAGAAGCTGCGACCCCCAAGGGGTTTCTTCAAACCCCCAGAACCCAACGCGCTTTGAACTTCACTCGTTTCCGAATGCATCCGAATCATGAATTTCATGAATCGAAATTTCCTCTACGTGAAACATTGACTGCGGGTCACTAACTAAATTTTTTCCCTTCTGAAATGTACATTTAAAAACGGCACAGGACCGCGATTTTCACTGAAAATGCAGTATAGAAATTTCATTAAAAGCCAGAAAGCAGTCTGAATCATTTAAATTTGAGCAGCTTCAAGTTCCTCTAATAAACTTGAATTTTACAAAATATTCATAATAGAAAATGTGCATCAACATTATCGACACGAGAAAGCAATCGAAAATTTAGTGAACCGATCCGCATATGCATAATTTTGAATTAGGCTGATTTATCAAATTGCTGAAATTTCCACAATCATGCTGCATATTTTCAGCATTTTTATTTCTTTAATTTCTTTCCTGGAATGTATAAAATCTGTTTTGTAATTCACTATCATGAGAAGATATTAGTTTTATAATAGCTGTCTTATTTTGCCATTTTGAATTTTTGGTGCGTTCTGAATTATAATTTATATTTTTCAAACAAAATATTGTGCCCGAGTTGTTCGAAATTTTATTTTCTACGGAAGTTACTTTCTAGAATTTTTAAAAGTAAGATTCTCAATCATGTTCCGGGCTGATCAAAATGTCAATATTTTACACCAGGCATTTCACAACTCGAACCAAGACGAAAACACGAGAATTGAGAATGACAAATCAGACTATTCGGATAATTTTGAGGAAAATGCCAAGAGAGAATGATGGAGGGAATAATCTCTGAAATTCACGGCAATGTCGGTGATATCGCTTCAGGTCATCTTTGATTATTATTTTTTTCATCCTTGAGTATATTTCCTTATATTTTACCATCGATATTGACTGTTTTTTTCATCAAAACATGCCGTAAGATTCGTATCACAGCGACTCGTCGACCTTCGGCCAGAACAGCGTTTCAAATCGTCATTAAATCTAATTATCTCTTAGAATCACCATCCCAAAATCCGGTGTATTCCCAGACTCTTGTCCCAAAGAATTCATTAAAATGGTGATCCAATAAAACTGTCCATGGTTGCGAAGTTTTATGGTCATCGTCATTTCAATGGCAATATGCTTTTTATCAGATGAAGAAGGGTCCGAAACTCGCTCTTTGGGAAAATCAAATGGATCCACCATCTCTAAAAATTGAATTTACAACTAAAAATTAATCCTGGAAGGTTTGCGTAGTTGATTAATCAGAATGATGAGGATGGCATTCGTTCTGGAAATGTTCAGGCGCAGAAATTATCCGAACGGGTTTGAAATGTGAAATTCGAAAACCACGACTTCCTAAGCCCTGGATTTGTTCAGTTCAAGAACTGTTTTCTGAAGTTTCGAAAGTCATACTTCATTTGCGAAGAAACGACCAAAATCTGGACATTTCACGAATAATTCTTAATACAGTCGAGAGAAAAAGTTTGTAGTAAATTGAGAAAAAATCTGCGTCCTCGGTTTGATTAAATTTACGATATTAAAAAAAGGGATTGGATTTACAACAAAGTTTCGTTTTATTCTAATTTCAACAGTTTTGAACTCATATTGACCGAATTTCTCAGACGTGATTGTATATTGGACACATCTTTCTTCTTCGTCAAATTTTCGGCGAAAAAAGTGAGACACATCGGACCTACTTTACGCATTTTCAACGACAAGCTCATAAAAAAATCTTTTAGGAATTAAAAAATTTGAAAGTTGACGAACATAAAATTTTTTCCAGTTTAAATTAATGCAACCCCTTTTTCGAGAAAAAATAATGTTCGATTCGACTAAATACGGCACTTTGAAAAATAAACTTCTCTTGAATCTTTATTCAGTTCAACTTGAGAAATTTTAAATTGAAAAAGATTGCGCTCTTCAGAAAAAAGCTATGCAATAATAATGCACCCAGGTTAATTTCGCCGCATAAAAAAAAACCAGCTTCGTTCATTTATTTAAATGTGGTAAAGAATTCGAAATAAATGGACTCACCTCGATGTGAGTCTCCACTCGGATGACGTCTGCTACGTAGGGCACCTTGGGCAACAAAACCCGATCATACACTTGTCCGGTAGGCGAACGAACCCGGACGGAACTCGGGGCCTCGTTTGACGGGTAATGGGCAACAAAAAGCAAGCCCTGGTTTATGGATGAGTCCACGTAGAAGGAGCCAGACATCACGTCATAGGGTTTCGTGGGACGAAACACCTTGTGCATCAACTGCAAACAACAACAACCCATTTCTCAAAGTCAGTTCCCACTTTGTGCAAAAACAAGATAGGCGAGTACAGTACTGCAAAATTCCGAGATGACAGTAATCACTACATTATTACGCTTCAGCCTTGAAATATCTGTTGTCTTCTTATCCGAGCCAATCTCAGTTAAAATTAATTTAGAAAATTAATTAGATCCATGCGTAGATCACACAAAGGTTATTTTTTTTAAATACTGTTTGCCGATTTCAGAGGAATCCCACTCGCTGAATTGAGACACTGAATTGAAGAAAAACCACTCAGTTGTCAGCTCTTTAAGAAGATAACTTAGCATATTTTTTTTAACTGAGATACGATTGCCTAAAGAAATTTGATTTTCTTTCAGTTGTGGATAAAAAAGAATTCTTTTTTTTTCCTTTACGGACTTCAAGCAATCTTTCTTTTGATAACAAATCAAGTCGAAAACATTATTGTCTTCGTGTTCTTTTAAGGATTACTGTAGCATGAGTTTCACATACAAATAAGGGCTTCAGGGATTATGTAAAATCTTAGTATGTCAGTGCAGTCAGTTCAGAATATTCAAGTGCTTCTATAAGATTCAGGATGACGCCAATTATATGAACAACACAGAAAATAGACCGGGGTCAGGAAATGAAACAAGGGAGTTTCAATATTTTCTAATTTTTTTCCAGCTATGATAAGAAATTACAGCTTAGTTTTGGGTCAATGAGTATTTCATATTCACTTGAATATCACACTCCCTGGAAAAAAAGGCGCACCTGGATTTTTGTGACAAAAATTTGGACAAGAATCTAACCCCAGTAATACATGCACATCTTTTCTAACGAGACTGAAAAATTTAAATTAATTTACTTTCAAATCTAAACACATCAGACTTTGGATATTTATTTCTGTTGTACACGATTTTCATTAATTCTCAATTTTTTCAATATTGTTAAAATGGGTGAAAAATTTTTTTTAGTAGCATGTATGACATGCGTTTAGACTATAGACACACTAAAATTCAGTAAAATTGTAATACTGACCCCTATGTGCATCCTCCTGTTTTTTTCTTGATTTTGAAACTTCTGTGCTAAAAGGTATTAATTTTAAGGCTTTGACTTGATTTCATTTTAATATATTGTTTTATTAGGCGATGCCATTAAACCGCATAAATACAGTATATATATGTTCAGCTCACCTTTGAAGGATTGTTGATTTGAAACACGGACTCATAAAAGCTGAGCAGTTCCATGAACGCTCCAGCATCATCATCCGGGTCGTCGACAGCAGAAAACCTGCCCCCGGACTTGGTCGCCAGGTCCTTGAGCAACCCGTTGACCTGTTGCCCCAGTTGGATCCCATGCACTCTCGTGCCACCGGCAATCATTTGCTCGAAAATCGGGTCCCTCTGCGCAATTCCAAGGATTGGTTCTTCTTTTGTGGACAAGGACAGAGGGAGAAAAAAAAACGAGGACATCTTATGAGCTGTGTGGGACAATGAAAGCGAAGGACAAGAGCTAAAAGCATTAGTGCGAGAGCGAGACTGGGGGAGAAAAAAGGCATTTCTATGGAGGATGCCAGAAAATAGCCAAGAAAACGAAACGCCTTCAGTAATAGGCGAGTAGATAAAAATAATAATAATAATGTAAACAGACTGCTGGAGAACTTCAAAAATATCATGGGATTGAAAAAAATGAAACATCAGCATTCGAGGAAATCTTCATTTCGAAAATTTTACAAAAATTTCCTTTACGCTGACATTGCATTATAAATCCCCCAATTAAAGCGCTTTTTAGTCCTTCAAAATACAATCGTTATCATTGCTGCGTCGATCAAAACAATCCAGCGTACAGAAAAAAAGATTCAACTTTAAGATCAATTCTTAGATGAAAAAACTACGCAACATTAAAGAGGCAAACCATCAATTTCAAGGCTCATGACGTTAATATTTATTTAACATCAGCAAATGCAGTTTTCATCCAAGATCAAATTCAAGACCAATTTAAGATTTTCTTTTAAGATCAAATACACAGGTACTGTACTTGAACGAATATTGGCATAATCTGTCAGTAGGGAGAACTGAAATGGACTTCACAGAAAGAGAGAGGCATGCAATAGGCAGAGAGAGACACAGAGAGAAAGACAGATATATAGAGAAACCCAGAAATACCGAGAGTGACAGAGATAATACATTCAGAGAATGAGAGACACCAAAACAGACAGAGATAGGCAAAGACAGAAAGAGAGAGAGAGAGACAGATAATGACAATAATATTGGTAATGAAATTTTGATAAATATCCTTGATCTTGTGATATACATAGAAACTACTTCATAAGAAAGAGAAAAACAGATAGAGAGAGAGAGAAAAAAAAACAATCCCACAAGGGACATAATCTAATTTTCTCTTCCTGGTATTCATTTGACCCATTTTACATAGTCATTCATTCGCAGCAACCCTCTCTCTCATGACATGACAGAACCTCCAAAATCCAGAAGAAGGCAACCATCCACCCCCACCACCACCACTACCAACCCTGTTATTTCTGCTGCGGGCCAAGAAATAAAATAAACCCCTTTTTTTCGTCTGCTTTTCTGTGCATATTCTCCTGTACAGTATACACACTCGTATATAGGAGACAAAATAGGCAAAAGAGGACCCCACACACACACACACCAAAAAAAGAAAAGAAGAAGAAGAAGAAAAAGAGAGCAAGCAAGCAAGAGGAAAAAGGGGCACAGACGAGGGACATATATATATATATATAGCAGCAGTAGCAGTGGGAAATGTTGACTCACGTCCTCGGCCTACACCTTCCGCGTCCTCTCCGTGGGGTCCGAGCTGTTCCTCGACGGGTAGCGGGAAATGAAGGACTTGCTATTGATGTCAAGCAGGCGGACGGAAGTGATGCGCTCCGTCTTTTCGATCCCGCCGGCAAACTCCACCAGGCCCAACTCCACGCGGTCATAGTCCTTGCTTTCTTGCAGCTCCTCCAGCAGCCGGTACGTGGCCCTGGCCACCACTGGCCAAGATCCCTGAAAAAAAAAACCACAACGAAACAGAAAATAAAAATTAAATTAAATTGACCAACTTCAGCATCATCAATATAAATAATATACCGTATTTACTCGAGTAACACACGCGCCTACTCAAGTACAGTAGTATAATTAGGCCAGGCATCTTGGATTTTTTTTTTTGCTAAAATTTCCTTGCGGACAATTATTATCCCTGCATAAAATGCACACCTTAGTTTTCAATTACTGCAGTCATAATATCGACTCAAATACAGTGAGAACCCCAGATGCGGACGTAATTGGTGCATCAAGAGTGTCCCTAAGTCGAAATGTCCCTAAGTCAAGTCTCACTTTCCCTTAGACTTACATTACATAAATTTTAATTGGTATTTTATGTACAAAATACTCACAATAAATCCATGAAAATAAAAATTGTCTCCCAATTCAAACTGATTCCAATTAATATATTTCAATGCAATATGGGCATTTGAGGAATTGAATACTGATGCCTCTGTACAGTGCATAGAAATGTTTGCATTCTATGTAAAAGTAGCATTCAAGTGAAAAAGAGAGAAGGAAGTCCTTCTCTGCTGGAGGTGCTTTTTTTTTAATTAGCTAAATGGATGGTAATTTGGTGAGAGAAATGGCCAAGAACTTTTCTTACATCAATTTTAGGTTTCGTAATACCTGTTTCTTGTGATTTGGCCTGAAATGTATTTGCAATTTTATCACAAAATGTCCCTATGTTGAGTCAGTGTACTCATGTTGGGCCTTAGTTATTGATTTTTTTCTGGGAAAATAAATGTCCCTATGTCAAATTGTCCGCAGGTCGAGGTGTCCGCATGTGGGGGTCTCACTGTATACAAATATTGGAGGGGGCTTCCTGTATTTGGACACTATTGAGAAAGCTAGTTGTTGTTGCTCCAATCCGCAACATTTTATCTGCACAATACTGCGTAAAAGTAGTAATCCGGTAAAAGCAAAAGAGACGAATTAGCGCACCTATTCGACATTTCATTCCAACAATTTGTTCAAGATTTTAAAACTTCAGTCGAGAGTTTTGAATTATTTTGACAAGCATTAGAAAAGTTAAGGATGCTACTTTTAACAGCAAGTACTTCCGGAATTCTCGGGGAAAGCAGCAGAGACAAATGAACTTTGGTACATGACTGAGTACTGCTCAGAAGTACTGCTTGATGCGAAAGAAGTTTAAAAAAAAGGGAATGAAAGTCCTCTGAGAGCTTTTTGCAAATGGTGAAGTTTTGGATTTCAAATGCTTCATAAAAAATGTCTGCCGGCTCTTTCTTCATCTGGGCGATTGATGAAGTCGTGTAATGTCATTGTATCGAGTAAGGGCAGAAATATTTTTAAATTGTAAAAAAAAAGTTACTGTGATCAAAATAATACAAAATTTCTCGTTCGGGGATCTCGAAAGCGTTTAGATACAATTTTAGCGGTTGAGAAAAAACATTATTCAGTGGGGAAAATCTGAAAATATTTAAATTCCCGTTTCTTCGAAAATTATAAATCAAAGCAAATTATTCCCTCGACTGATTAAATTATGATCGCATTTTCTATGATTAATCAATTATTAGGAATAATTTTCGTCTCTTCAATTTATCCTTTTCTCGCATTTACTTCGTGAGAGTGAAAAATTCCACGATTTTAGAAATCCGAAAAAAAAAATCTCCGGATATCAAACTATGAAAATGGGATTTTCTGTCATGCAAGATATTCCAAATTTGTGTTCGATTGAAGTATTTTGACATCAAATTAAATATGAGGGAAAAGATGGTGGGCAAAATGTCCCCAGTTTCAAAGAATTACAGGTCGTTCAAAACTAAAAAAGAACGGAATCGAATTTTCTCACGAACGTTTAAAAATTACTTTTTTCCTCGATGAAATTTTTTTTTTATTTTTGACAAAAAAATTTTAGTTCATTTTCGAAACCCCCAAATAAACCATTATACTGAAGAAAATTTAGTTTCTATCATTCTGGCAGCAAAAAAAAAATTTTTAATCATGAAAGTCTCTCAAATGGATCAAATTACCTTCGCCGGTAGTAATTATAAACTCGGATGAACACAAACTAATCCCCCTGAGTCACAAAAAGTTTCCAAAAACAAGTTCAAAAACATCACAGGCTATTCCCGGAACATATCACTGGGCCCCACAATAACATCTGGGTCATCGGGAAGGAATTCCCAAGTTTTTAAAACCCCTTTTCCAAACCCCCCTCAGCCTCCTCGAAAAAAAACAAAAAAGTAAAAAATACGTGAACCCATCCAGAAGCAGTACATCAGTACGTTCACAAGAACTCCATGCTATACCATCAGCCACATCATCAATCTCTAGCTCTTTTGCTTCTTCTTCGGCATTCCGGGAGAATAAGAAACCCGGGCTCCCCCCCCCCCTCGACGAGAAGAACCCTGCAGAAAATGGATTCTCCTAAAAAAAAAACTGCCGACAATGCACTACCTATGTTACTGCAATTTAACTTCAAAAAGCGAAATAAATATACTGTATCCTATAGAGTACAGACATATAAAAGCATGGGTTCCCCCGTTGAAAGCTCCAAACCTTTCAAAAACATCTTCTGGAAGAAACCCTTACAATTTTGAAAGCTGGAATCGCAAGTTTCCAAGGGCGAGATCTGGGTTAGTTGATTTTTACAGGAATCATAATTTTAGATGACAGCCAAAATTATTTGCACTCGAAAAAAATAGAGGAATGATCATCAAAATACCGGTACTGCATTGATTGAATCGATTTTTCTTACTTACTGATTTCAGAAAACAAAACATCGAGAGCTTGAATACTCAAGCAGACATATTATAATTTTAAATTACAAGAAAATGCTGAAGCGAAAGCTATAAATTGTTTTTATTCAGCGAGATCTCGATCAGGCTGAAGGTTAATATGAGCTTTTCAACCTTGGCTCAAGATTGAATCAGATAGGTTAATAAAAAAAATATACGCATTTCGCACATCCGAAGAAAATTAAGATTCTTCATCAAAACACGATCCCAAGATATCTGATTCATTCTTATACCTTCCAAATTTTTTTCGGTAAAACCATAAAAATTTGATGGTTGGATTATGAAAAAAAACAGCTGTACTGGAGTCGCAGGTGAAAATGCCTTTTTTTTCAGGCAATATTCGCAGTAGGCTAAATTTTGGTGGAAAATCTTTAACCTGGTTTGAAAATACAAGTGAAACTTAGATCCAATGCTATTTTTATCACAATAGGTAGAAAAAACTCCCAAAAAAAAAATATTCTGTCGTTATTTTATTTATTTCCACACCGTCTCACATTAGGGACTAAAAGCTTCTGATCGAAACCTTTCATGCTGTCAAGAATATTATCTAGATAAATAAAGATTTTTAAGATTGATTAGAAACGTTTAAATGAAACACAAATTTGGTCAGGCTGCAACCGGGGTGAAGAATCACCCTATTTTAAGGTTGTTGTAATCGATTTTCGACGCACAAGTACAAAAAGGCAGCGATTTTATGTAGATCGACAAGAAACAACACACGCAAATGCTTGAATTGGAATGCAAATTTTGCCAATTTGAGAAAACAGGAAAACTGTCTTTCAAGGACAAAAAACAGCAAACAGGATTTTAGCAATAAAATGCAGACTTGAAGGCTCAGAAAGAAATGTGAGAACCAAGGTCTTCCAAAATTCTCACAGAGATGGAATGAAAGAAGAGTTTTACCGAGGATTCGGGTTCTCTGATTTGGTGGGTCAAATTTAAGGAAGCTATTTAATTTTCGCGACAGATGCTTGAAGAAAAAATATGGTCAAGTTCCCCACCCCAAATTAATAAATTGAACAAAATCAGCTTTTTCCTCTTGAATAATCGACGGACAGTCGTTGGGTCAAGATAAAAGACAGTTTTCAAGAAATCTTTAAAAATTTTACAGATAAACCGCTTTGGGAAGAGTTCGAGTGAGACTTTTGAGAAAAAATGTAAATTTGCTCAAAAAGCCATAGGAATCCACTGCAGTTTTTTTTCTGCTCAAAATTCAGCACAGAATTCGACAGAACTTTCGGCACAACCCGATGAAACACAGTTGTCTGGACACGGGTCGGGGAACGTGGAGGTGCAAAAACGGAAACGGAAGTCGTGATGTCCTTCCGGGGACACGACGGAAACAGGAAGGAAACGCCAAGAAATGGGCAGAAAATGAGGACAGTGTCAGTACGGGCAAATGAATGATGAGGGCCACGAGCTACACGAACCATACAAAACCGAAACAAATAAACAACAAATGCATAAAAAGCATACAGGTACAGTACAGTACATCTACACACAGAGGAGATGTTCGATTTCCGGACCAGAACCCGTCAGGGTCCACCACAAAAGTGTGACCAGACAGTTGAGCGCATCAAAAAGGTACCAGCAAACTTTTCATGGCCCTTTGTGACGTTTTTTTCCATAATAAAAATATCCTCATATTAAGCGTATATTTTTAAAAATGGCGAAATCTTTCTGGAGTTGGAAATATTTTAAAACCCACGTTATTTTTTCAAACGCGCTCAATCGTGCAGTAAAATACAATAAAGGGTTGTGGCTCATTCCAGGTTTGTACATCAAGTCTTTCTAAAAACAGTTATTTTATGTCATAAGATGACTTAGTAAAAAACACACCGACGTACCGCAGACTTAACGAACAGTTTTTCGGATAAATTTTAAAATTACGCGCGTTAACACGTAAGGTTATGTCTACAGTACTTTAAAAAAATAATGGGACTAAATCATTATTTATTTAACTAAACCCAAAACTTTCTTCAAAACAAAATATCCTACGGAGTTATATTTTTGTGGCTCCATGGCGCCTGATTTGCTTCTCATGAATGCTATTTATAATTTTAATGCGCTCAATTGTGCTGTCAGATATTTGAAAACGTCATGGAGCTCATTCACAATTGTTACCTCACTCCAAAACTTCCTTCATGATAAAATATCCTTCTGAAATAAAAATTTCCAGTAGCTGGAATTGCTCATCGAAAAACAGTTCCTCTTTGGGATGATGAGTGAAAGCGCTCTTTTGAGCACGCGCTCCTTTGTCGACGCGCTGTTTTGTGCCTGCGCTCAATTGTGTCGTTATCAGAAAAAAAATCAAGTAATAATGCCGTATCTCACTCACCGTTTGTCCATTACGTCCAGACGAGCTGTCCAAAAGCAGAATGATCCTCCTGTTGTCCCTAGCGACGAACTTGAACTCGGGCTCCGAGAACGCGTTCTCCGGCAATCTCTTCTTCCTGCCAAACGCAAGCGAAAACTCCATCACAATCCTGGGGCCCCTCGTGGGAGGCCAAATGGACTTTTTTTCTTTTTCTTATGTATTTTAGAAGAAGAAGAAGAAGAATACGAAGAAATAAAGAAGGAAAAAGGCCGTGTCTTCGGGATAATCTCGTAGGAAGAACAAAAAAAGACTGGCCCTTCTCCATCACGCCCCCTTCTCCAGAGGACCATTTATTCTCTGCCTTGTTTCGCAGCTCGCGTCTCACTTGACTCAGGATCCCCCCCACCCTTACCCCAATTTTGCCCCCGTTTCCCCCTCATCATCATATGATCCCATCGACATGTCCTCTTCCTCTTTTGACATATGCTCTGGCTCTAAAAGCCCTCTTTTACCAAACATTACCCCCAGCAGAAACGACATGATGCACACTTCAGCAGTTTTTTTCCTTTGCATTGTCTTTGAGACAGCGACCGAGTTCATGGAGATCCTCTCTTAGACAATTAAATGATTCGGCAAATGATCCCCTCTGAATAAAATCAAGCATATTCTTGCTAAAAAAAATCAAGTATTTGTGCTGTTTCCTTAAATTTAAAGTAATGAGATTTTCATGAAAAATTACTGAAGCCAGGAAATATCAAAATATTTTACCAAATGGAATTTAAAGTTTCGAAAGTGGTAAATAAAATCCGCGAAAAAAGCTCAAAAGCCNAGTATTTGTGCTGTTTCCTTAAATTTAAAGTAATGAGATTTTCATGAAAAATTACTGAAGCCAGGAAATATCAAAATATTTTACCAAATGGAATTTAAAGTTTCGAAAGTGGTAAATAAAATCCGCGAAAAAAGCTCAAAAGCCGGAATGCTTGTGCAAAATTACTGAAAAGCATCATACAAAATGTTGAAAGGTTTACCAGATGAATATCAAATCAACCAAGCGTGAGAAACGGATAAAAAGTGTCACAAAATGTATATTGTGTAATTTATTGGAATCAATGGCGAAAAAAGCACTAAGATAATTTATAAAAATATTACTCGTTCGAGCAATGGCCTATATTTTCATTGGAAATTTTACGGTAATGAAAGAAGCATTGTATGAATCCTGCGAATAAGTTTCATTGAGGACTTTAAAAAAATTCGCACAACGAACAAACCCAATTATAGTCAATAAAACGTAGGATTATGATTGAACTACCGAATTTATTCATTTTTAGATTACTGTAATAGCCTAAAAATCCAGGGACTCGAATTTTAGACGGATTCAGTAAAAGCTTATCAAGAATTTGAGAAACATATGCTTTTGAGCAGTGATGATAAATTTATAATATCATCCCCATCCCCCGAAAAATCAATTAAATGTAGCCTCGCGTAAAATTAATCCTAGATGTTTTCGAAATAAGTAAAGAATAACATCAGTTGAGTAACTTCAGATTTCGCCCATTTTATATTTTTGAATGCCAGATTTACTTTTACACAGAGAGAAAAAGTTTCCAAATAAAATCCCGAAAATGTCGCGGCACTTGGTGACATTTGAGTGACATCAGCAGTCATCCCAAACCACGAAAGAGAGAGAGAAAAAAGTAAAAAAATAAAATAAAAAGGGGGTTGGTGTATATATCCTTTTTTACTTTCAGATCTTTCTTTAGTCGTGGTCCTCCTCCTTTTCAGAGTGGGAACTTTTAGGCCTACGGAACAGTAGTGAAGGGTCTACGAAGAAGGTGACGTTTCGTGCAAGACAGATCACCGAGCATCCCGATTATGCGTCTCCTGGTTGCAAAACTTGTCCACATTTGGCAGACTCGGGAAAGACATGATGGAGCTGTGGATTTTGGGATTCACCTCCACGTCCAACGGGTCAGGACGGAAAAAGCAGGAGCCCATGTTGCACATTCTGTTCAGAGAAAAGAGAGAGAAACAGTCATTTTTTCGTAAAATAAATGAATGCAAATGAGGAGCAGGAAATTATGCAAAATCGCTGTCGAGTGACAACTCGTCAGCGCAACTTTTTTTTTCAAAGTTGGAAGAGTCGTCACATTTGATTCTCAAGTCTCTAGAAATGGTAATGCATGAATTCCAGAAGTTCAATAAAAAAAAATGTATGAGCCAATTCCCTGACAGAAATCCAGATGTCAATCGAAAATCGAGACGATTGCTAAAAAAAAAAAAAATGTGCGCAATTTCCTCCCGAGACTCCTGCACTTGAATCACATTTTTCTGAACTCATTCCAAGAGCGAGATTTTCAAGCATAACTTTTTGAAGAAATCATAAAAAATTAATTGGGCCTCGGAAATTTCATATTTTCGAACAGTTAGAACGTGAACAGAAAATTTTGAGGAAAAAAAGCTTCAGAAATTGTGTCTTGAGAAAGGAAAATAATTTTTAAATGTACAATACTGCATATTTATTTACTAAGCCCAGTAATTTAATGCAAACCTAAAATCTTTGTGCATTTTTCGCATTTTGAAACCTAGTGCAGGCGAAAAACAAATGCGCTGCGACTTTCATCAGCATCAATTCGCACTTCAGGGCCTCTAGTCTTGCCAAATATAATTTCATTCGAGACGAAGAACAAATTTTTATTTTTACTCAGCCGAATTTTCAGTCGCCCGAAAATTGCACAAATCAATGCACATAAGAATTACTGGATCGTAGAATTCTGGATCGCAATCGAAACGCGAACTTTTTTGCAGCCAGGGCACGTGAACGACACGCGCTCTATTGTCCCACGGATTCCGCATGCAAATTCGCACACCTCCTCCCCTCAATTTTCTAAGCTAACCCTCGAAAGAAAAGAAAGAAGTCGCAAAAAAAAAGAATAAGAGCGTGAATAAGGGGAATAAGGCAAAGGAATAATTCGTGCTTCGATTGACCCGAGGCTCAAGGGAAGAAGAGAGTCTAGGGGAGAAACGGATGCCATGAATCTCGATAAAAGTCGGAAGCCCGAACCTTCAGGCAAAAGCCTCACATATTTTTCCCCTTTCCAGAACATCTCAGTTTTGTTCTAGAACACGATTTTCCCATTGAACAATAAATCATCCGTTTTCAAAAGTCAGATCGAAAGTCTTTGTTCACAGGCGACTCAAAAATTCTCTACAGCTTCCCAGTTGCTGAAATTATTAATTGGAGACTTTGAAAATTAATGAATATGGTAATCATCATTATTATTCTTTTCAATTCTCCAATGGAATGCAGAAAAATAAGCAGCGATTGTTTCATTTATGTATCTTGTGAAACATCCATCCTCATCCCCTCAATTAAATCTTTTCACCAAAAACCTTTTGCAACATGGAAAAAAGCTCATTTGTTATAGTGAATATTTTATTATACCAAAGCTTGAATAACCTTGTGACTATTTGGCAGGGACTTTGAGAAATAATTAACTGTGAAGAAGAATTTGTTTTAGCAAGATTTTTTGTAACAAGATTTTACTGTATTTCACAAAAATACCTTGTGAACCCCAACAAACACTTTCATGCTGCGTTAAACAATTTTCAAGCACACATACAAAAGAAACCAGAAGCCAGTTGTGCTTAAAATGATGAAGAGACGAAAATTTATGTGTTACTTAATTGCCAGCGACATCTACGCACACTTGGGAAAGTTTCCCCTTACAGTGGACAAGACAGGAGCATAGCTCTTGTGGATACCAAGGAATTACTGTATATCCCAAGCCAGTCAAATACATGACCAGAGATGGGGATACAAATGTATTTGGAACCTTGTGTGTCCCCAGTAAGAGCAAGGTTATGCTTTCTGACAAGACCTTTTCTCTCTCTCTCTAGACTCTGGAGAGTAGCAAGTGGATTTCGAATTTTAGCCTAGTATGTGTTTTCTCTGGTGCGATCAATGACATGGTGCCTCCTTTCTGCTCCAGCTGCTTCCCTTCATCATCAAGTCGATACTCAATGTGAGCTTCATATCCTGCTTTCCAACGAGAACCCATGGATGACAACCCATGTCGGGGTTCCGAGCACAAATTAGCCGGATCCAATTCCTCGTCGAAAGATTTTTGAGTTTGAATCAATGGGTTGAATGTCCCCTTTTCTGATAACTTTTGATTTTTTCAAACCTCAGATCGACAATTTACAAAATCTAAACATTCGATTTAAAAAAAACGAACACATCATGGTGGCATACTAAGAATCCATTGAAATTCACAACATCACACTCAATTTCTTATACTAAATTCATAAAAAAATATTACGTCTTCAACTTTTTCAGGGTTTCTTCTTCTAAAGGCTTTTTCAATTAATGGTTTCTAGTCATCATAATTTTTTTTATTCCACCAGCAAGGAAAGAATTCCTCTTAGCCGATGAACACTGTGATAATGTAAGCAAAAAAATTTAGTAGATTAAAAAATTAATCTAAAAAACCATGTTTTTAAAAAGGAAAAAATAACCTTAAACGTGGTTAGTCAGGAAGTGAGCAAAATTTGAGTTGCAAAATTTGATCCGGACAAACAAACGGACAAGAAAGCAAGTTAATAAAAACGTGTTAAAAATCATGATTTATTAGGAAGATATTGAAATTTTCGGCCAGTAAAAACTAAAGTGTGCGGCTTCTGCAGGGATACAATTTTGCTCAAAATTTGCACAGAGAATGAAAACAGAACGTCTTACTTGAGGGTGTTTGGTACTTGAATAAATATGATATAACCACAGTGTTATTCAAGTATAGGTGCAACACACTTTTTGTTACGACAAAGGGTTTTTCAAGTTTCTGAAGAATTTGTTCAAAGGAGATTCAACTGTATGAAGGAGGTTTTTCATAGTTCATTATTGGCTCTCTCGTGGCTAGATTCCATTCCAGTTTCAAAAGCTCAAGAATTTCAGAAGCAATTAACATAATTAATTGCTTAAATTCCCTCAAAGTAGAGGCGGAATATGAGTCATATTTAAGCCATGCTTTAGAGAAACCGTTGGGACGTAATCCTTCCATTTTGTTTCATGCGTCACACTGATATTTATTGACTATCCCTCTATACTGAAACTCAGTCAAATGGAGTTTCATTGAGAAGAGCTCTAATGAATTAAACTCCCCCTTCGA